GCTGCCTGCAGCCCTTGTGCAGGGCACGGGTTTCAGAACCGCTTTCTTGCAGTGTTTGCTATTGACCAACGATCAAAAGGAAGCAGCCAAAAGGAAGCTAAGTGGTGGTTTGCCTATTCCTTGCCTCTTCTGAGTAATGACACTGGTTGAACCATTAATGTAGGTCTCTATAATCTAAGTAATTTCATGGTACTTTCCAGTCTGGGGCATCTTTCCTTAAAAAGGAAAAAAAAAACCAAAAACCCATGACCCCCAAAACTGATGCTTCTTGAGGCATAGGAGAAATCAATGAGTGAGATCAATATTGCCTCCACAGGTAATAAATGCTGAGGAGCAATTCTGTCTATCTAAATTGATCCTAGAGAATTCCTTAAATTGGTTCTGATGTGTATAAAAATCATTTCCCTATTGATCAAAGCTTTTCTTTCTCTCTGCCTTTGATATGTTATTTCATCTCTGCCATTTGCAATGGTCCCTCTGCAGTTTTGATAAACCACAGTCCTTAAATTCATGCAAGATTATGATTTTAATGAAACAAGAAATAACCGGGCTTGGGTCTTTGAAGATGAATGCTTTTGCTTACAGTTAGGCAGTGCCTGTATTTTTAAATTGGGCAAGTTACTCCGTCTGAATTATTTATGGTAAAGCCTGAGAAAAGCTGCTGTGCTTTTTATTAGAGGCCAAATGCAGCGCCCCATCCTAGGCTGTTCCCTGCCTCAGGGGTAAGAGCTGCTGCAAGAAAGAGGAGAAAATTCTGCCTTTCACTTGTCTTGCTATGCTCTCTACGTGAGCAAAGGAGTTAATACTATATACCATGCTATAAATACTGCAGAGTGGTCTACTTATCATGCAGTCCCAAGGCAAAGACGTGACTGCTTCTGGCTGTTTGCAGGAATAAACCAATATTGCAGGTTGGCTTGGCAAGGCTTCACTCTGGGTTTGTTCTAGGAAGGTGGTGGTCGTCATTGTCAGCGCCTCTGGGGGGATCTCCTGCAGTGTGGGGGGGTCAGGTTTTGTCCTTTCACATGTTCCCCCCATCCCAGGACTTTGGTTTTATCAGCTCAGCAAGTTGATTCTGACTAGTTTTGCATTCCCAAGAAACGTGTCCTGCAGATACAAATTAAATTAAATGGCATCGGAATATCAGCACTTTGGAAATTCAGCCAAATGGGGAGATGGGTCCAAACCGGGAGATGGATTTCACATTGTGTTGGACCTAAGTGGCCTTGGTGGCGATGGTATTTACGGAGCGGGGCAGATGTGCACGGTCCTTTAGAGACAAGGAAAAAGAAGTTGCTTGCCTATGTGCCACAGAACTGAGCTTCATGGCATAAAATAGTTTTGAGTTTAAGCTCATGTGCTCAGCTCAGTGTGGAGACATGCAGTTTTGTGGGTCGACTAAAGCTCCTGGTTTGCATATAGCAAAAATATGACCAGCCACATACGTTTTGGCATATAAATATCCTCTCCGAGGGGGAGCTGGCAGCCTCTGAGCGCGTCCTCGCGCAGCAGTTGTCAGCACCACGGTTGCTCTTGCCGCCGTCCTTGCTACCTTCTCTGACTCGCCGCATCCTTTCGGAAGCAGAAAGGGGCCAGATGGTCTCAGCTTATGTTGTATAAGGACAGAACCGGGACGCATGCAAGAAAGGGAGCACAGAGGGTGCTGCTGGAGGGTGTCCTCGCCGGGCAGACCGCTTGGCTGGCGGGCAGACACCCCCCTGGGAGCACGGGATCCACAGACCTGCAGGCTGGGGGACATGGAAAGTCTCTCTTACCCTTTGAGTCTTGCTATTTGGCCTCTTCTAATGCTCCACTGCAAACCAGGGCAACTGCAGGGCTCGGGGAGTCTCCCTGGGCTTCCCGCACCTCACAAGTTGCCTGAGGGTGTACGAGGAGGACAAGATCTCCACGGCTTTGTCCTCCTTTGGGCATTCTACCTGCGTAGCTTTGCTGGCACCCCGGCAGCCCTCTCACAGCAAGAGCTGCGCCTGGCAATTTCATAATCGCTTTTTCGCTTGGGTTTCTAATTGGAGAACGTTCTGAAGAGGCAGCAAAGCACGAGTTGTTCCCTCTTTCCCAAAAAGAGTCATCTCCCGCTGGAAGGAGGGAGGGAGGCAGTTTGCATGAGGAGCGAGTGGCAGGAGCCCGTGTCCTGTGCTGTCCCTCGGCCTCTTCAGCGCGCGCGTTCGCTCCCTGTTGGAATGAACCACGAGTGAGGCTGGCGCCCGTGTTTTGGTGTCAGGACTCGGGACAAACCAGCCCGTCCTCCGCTCCCGGAGGGGTCCTCGTCGCCGTGGTCCCGTCCGGCTCCATCGGCGGCCGGTTCTGCCGTCGGCACCGCCGCGCGGGCAGAGCCTCCGTAATAAATATTCCCATCTGCCGCGCTGGACACTCCAATCCATCCTGGAGATCTTTGCTGTGTCAGGCGTTGTTCTAGCTGAAGGAGCCGGGTAGTTCTAAAGGTTTGCAAATAGGGTGTATTTATCATGGTTAGCTCGGCTTTCCCGTGCCGGGCTTGCACAAACTGCCGCGGCCGCCCTAGCCGTGACTCACGCCTTAATGTCCCCCCATCTGTAAGTGCTTTGCTGAGCGGCTTTCCCGGCCTAAATGGGGGAATAGGCCCAGGCCAGGCCGTATGGCTTGCACGTTTCTGCAATTGGGATTGTTTTTTCCATATTAGCTTCTGCTTGGGATATATGTTCCTACTTGCTGCTTGGTGAGTAACTTGGATAGACTTAAAGTGGCAAAATGGCAAAATTTCACCCATTTTTCACAATTTTTTTTTTTTTTTAAGGCCTCAGTGCTAGATAGACTTTGCCAGAGTCAGGATTAATATTTTCCTGCCGGGAATGTCTTTGCTTTGTGTGGGAACCCCACATCTGCTTGGGAATTAATGTATTGATCTTTTGTACATCAATGCATCAATACCTGGAAGCATGCATTTATTAGTATGCATATATTATTAAACGTGTGAAACTTGCCTGAATTTTTGCCTTTCTGCTGTTAGAAGTGGCCAGTTCTCTCCTCACCTTTTAATTAGGCCTGGCTTTTTTGTAAGGGCCTAAAGGAGCTGGACTGGGCTCAGCTCGATGCACGACTTCTCACTTACCTGGAACTGTTGGAGACGTGCAGCCCAATTTCTTAGGGAGTCTATGGAAGAAAAGCAACGTTAATGCTGGGGCCTGCTCATACCTCTTGGGATCTGTTTCTCTGGGGCTCAGGCTGCTGGCCAGAATCCAACCCGCAGCCTCCAAATGATTAGATAGAATGGAAGAATTAAATAATTTAGGTTTCTAAAGGAACTTGAATAATTATTCCTGAATATAATTACAGTGGCCGTGCTCTTAATGAGCAGCATCTCCAGCTCTCCGGACTTGGGAACCAACACCCACAATGTGCTTGTCCTTAAGGTCCGGAGGGTTCCAAGATCCAGGGGTGTCGCCCTCGACCACCGGGCCCAGCAACTGCTCAGGGGGGTCACCGATGGCACCGTGCGCCTCCGGACCCGCGCGGATGCGGCGCTGGGAGCTGCATCCCGGCCTTGGCACGGAATAAATCCCCGCTCGCCGCCTAACGCCGGCGCGGCGGCGCTGCAAGGAGCCCGGCCGCGCGCGGGGGGGCCCCGTTGCCGCCGTGCAGCGTTGGGGGGCCCTGCAGCGCGGGCGGCACCGGAGCCGGAGCAGCGCCCGCCCGCCTCCGCGCAGCCCCTTCTCCTGGCTCTGATTTGTGTTTTCATCCCGCGCGCAGATTTCTTGGCAAAAAAAATAATGATAATAACAATTAATGCCGCTACTCACCCTTAGCGTGCGCGGCCGCCTGCCTGCCTCCAATGGGGAGCCTTGCTGGCACGGAAGCATAGATATTATTTGAATTTTTTAATTTTTAAAAAGAGATTTTTATTTTTTTTGAGTGCTACCATCGTCTGTGGTGGCGCGGGCGGATGCGGCGCGGGGGACGGCGCCCGCGCGGGGGATGCGGCTGCCCGGAGGCGCCCGCGCCGGCGGCTCCGCTGCGGGGGCCGCCCGCCGCACCAGGTAAGGCGAGACCCCCGCCGGGACCAGCAGCTACTTGTTGAGGGGCCGCATCCCACTGGGATGCTCTGCGCGCCGGGCCTGGCCCCGCTTAACTTTCCCCAGATCTAGGATGCTCCTGTCAAACTTCCTCCCATCTCTTTGCATCGCCTCCAAGCAGCGCTCGGTCCCTTGTTGCGGCTTTCCCGTCTTCTGGTTCTTTCCTCCGGACCAGCCACCGCTCCGGGATGCTGCCGCCTACGTGTAGCGTGTGGGTGCCCGGCTGGGTGCAGCATCCTCCCACGCACCCCTCGGCCCGGCTGGCCCTGGCTCTCGCCCTGGATTAAGCAGCTTGCTTTTGAATTTGAGACCGCTTGTGTAATATCCGGTGTCTCCCTCCGTGGTAGCTTGGAAAAGAGAAAAGAATATCCTGCTTTGTCAACCTGGGTGGCTCCAGTCAGGCTGCAGGTCTCTGCTGCCGCAGCTGCTTTTATTTTAATTTATTTTATTTTACTTGTTTCCTCCCTTCAAATACCATTGAGCATCAGCAGCCCGCCCGTGACTGCAGCGCACAGGAGCCCCGCGGGAGGCGGCGGGTCGGTGCGCGCAGGGTTAACGCGTGCTGGCCAGTGCGTGTGTGTGCCCAGGGCGAGGAGGAGCGCGCACAGCACCTGCACACACGCACACACATACACACACACAGCAACTGCTGGTGCCGGTGGCTGCGGGCTCCCGGCTCCCGGAACGCCGCCGCGCTTCCAGCCACTCGCAAAGTTTCCTCGGCGCCCGGCGAGCGCAGCTGGAGCAGGAGCCGTGTCGGGGCTCCCGGCTGGGGCACCCCCGGCCTGCCCTCATGGCGCTCGCTGTTCATCCAGACTTTATTTTCGGCTGACGGGGGGCTCGCCTGTCTCCCTGCTCCGGGCATCTCCTCAGATGCGCCAGCCCGGGCTCCGGGCATCCTGCGGCGCTTCCCAAGTTTTCCTCTCGCAGGCTCGGCCCGGGGGCTGCGAGTGTGACGCAGGCATCCGCACGGACCCGGCGCTCAACTCCTGCCTGGGAATTCCTGACATGCCGCACGATGGAAACGGTAAATAGCATCCCTGCTTCGGGAGGCAGCACCACGCTTCCCCGCAGCCCGGGCTGGCGCTCCTTGCCCGAGCGGTCCCTCCTCTGCTTCCCAAATGCTTTTATGGATGGTTTTTGTGGCTCCGGCTGAGTCCAGCCCAGCCCTGCCTTGGTCTTGGACACGGCTCTAACTCCAGATGCTGCTCGCCTCCTTTTTCTCCACGGGTTTGCCGCCTGGCTTTAATGAAGGGAGCTGCGTGCCCGACCAGCGCGGAGCAGCAGCGGCTACAGCAGGAGGTCAGGACTGCGCTTAAACTTGGCTTCAGGCCCCCAAAACTCGCCCTTGCCTTGCTCTCTTGGGCAGCTAATTTTTTAAAACTTTCCCTGCATCCAAAAACTCAGCTGTGCAAACGAGGAGAGTAAAAATGAGATGAGTCAGCGGAGCACCCTTTGTACGGAGGTGCTTTGTGGGCATTTGCACACAGCCATGTGTGTCTAATTCCTATGTTTCCCGGGCTTTGTTCTCTTTAGAAATAATGGGGGAGAAGAGGCTTATTTCTCGTGCAGCAGTGATTGCTGTCTGTGCATTTTGGGAGCACTGATTTCTTCCTCGGCGCTGGCTGCAGTGCCCCTCACGAGGCGATGTTCCCTCGCATGCTGAGTCTTCTCACTTGAAAATATCTCTTTTCAGACCACTGCACTGGTCTCCCTATGGAAGCGGCTGTTTATACGTGGCAGTGAGACCCCATGGAGCAGTTGAGGAGGGGGATGGCTCTTCGTATTCATGAAGCCTGGATACTGCTGTTTCTAATCCCTGCTTTGGTCACTCCAGCTGCCCTCAACCATGAAGACTACCCTGCAGATGAGGGGGACCAGACCTCGAGCAATGACAATCTGATTTTTGATGACTATCGAGGGAAGGGCTGCGTGGATGACAGTGGCTTTGTGTACAAGCTGGGAGAGCGCTTCTTCCCGGGACACTCCAACTGCCCCTGTGTCTGTACTGAGGACGGGCCCGTTTGCGACCAGCCGGAGTGCCCCAAAATCCACCCCAAGTGTACAAAAGTGGAACACAACGGATGCTGTCCGGAATGCAAGGAAGTGAGAAACTTTTGTGAATATCACGGGAAAAATTACAAAATCTTGGAGGAATTTAAGGTATGAACCCCTCTTCTTTGGTGTTTGATATTAGTGTGTGAGATGACGTGTGCTCTTGTGGGGGGCTCTCAGGGTCTGCTCATCTCTGTTAACCCCTACTGAAACCAAAGGTCTCCTTTGGCCGTGGTGAGGACCACCTCACTCCTCCCATACGACCCGTGGTGTGCGCCAGCCCGCCCATTCCTCTGGCCAACCTCCTTGTTTGCCCATGAGGTGAATCAGGTTGAGCTGCCAAAGACATCCGTAAAAATAGCATTAAATCAATACTGAGTGCTCTTCAAGAACCCCTTTGCAAGCTTGGATAGTACAAATTGATCACATGGTGCTAGGAGTCGGTAGTCACGACTATACAAAAACCCAAATAAGTAGACGGCAGCCTATAGTTAGTACGTGTAGTGCAAGTCTGATGAGCAAAGCTGTCTAGAATAGTCAAAGTTGGATTTCCAGGCAGGTAACCGTTTCATGTCATGAGAAGTTTGTGTTTTAATGGCAACGGTTGAGTTCCTACTGGGAATGTTGGGACGAAAGTACTAAGACAGCTTTTTGGGATGCATCTTAAAAATCAGAGCAGGTTTTCCAATTGCACTACCCTTAATGCATCTTATATCTCTTATTCTTTTAAGCTAGGTTATGTGTTTTCAACGCTGCCAAGGAAAAGAGCATTTCAGAATCACGAGCAGTCTCTGTAAAAGCAATAGGCATGCAGGAGTTTATTTGCTCAGGTCATGTGGCTTCAGGATTCATCCCTCCATAGTTAAGGACAGCCTATAACTAGCCTATAACTTTTCATGGCTGTACACCTGATCTCATTACACATATGCCAATTTATTTTCTTCTCTGACAGTGAGCATAAATCCCTATAAGTCTTTATATTTCACAAGTTTCCCTAGCACAGATCATGGTTTCTCTTTTCCCAGATGATCCTCTCTGCCGTTTCTCAGCACAAGGAATATTTAGTTCCCTTCTTTCCCTGTCATGTATGGTTTGTGCTGCTCTTTTTCTGCCCATCTGGAACTGGAATAACTCAGTATCGTTGAGACGGTTCAATGCCTTAAGCACCAGAGAAAACCAACATTAGGGGAGCAGCTCCTTGAGGCCATCCTGACCCAGTTGTTTTGTGCTCTGCAGAGCTCTATGAAGATCCTGGGTTTTGTGAACGGCTTAATTGCCAGTTTCTTGTTGCCCTAAGTAGACCCAGCCCAGCCCCATCTCACAGGCATTGTGCCTGAAGACACAAGGATCCCACATCTGCCTGCTTGGTGGCTCCACATCCCACCCACGTGGAAATGCGTGGTCAGGTTCTTGGGTGGGAGCTGTGAGGAGCCTTTTCAGGAGAGGTTTTAGGAATGCAGGAGGAGAATGGTAACACGGAGCTTTTCATTAAAGTATCTCTAGCATATGGGAAAAAAAACCCACAAAAGTGCTCCTTAGTGTTACTCGCAGGAGGAACCTCAGCCTGATCATGGATGAGAGGGTGGAGAAATAGAATTTAGGGGAAAAAGCAATAAAAAGGAGCTGCTTCATTGCTTGTTGTGCAACAACTATATGGACGGCGCAGAGCCCTTTTCCAGTATCTTTAGGAAAAAGCAGAATAGGTGGTGGCTTGCAGTAACCTTCGGTTCAGGGCTAATGTGGGGTCCTCCACGTTTAATTTAGTTCACATTTAAGCTTTTGACCTGGATTTGTGCTTTACTGAAAGCTTGGTACTATATAGTGGAGAGCAGGAACTGATTTGGGGATATTTATGTGTTTACCTAGAAAAAATGATGAAACTCTCCTTTTTTCCCTCCAAGCAACAGAGCAGGTTCAGGGAAGGAAACATTACTGTGGAGGTGCCAAGGTGCATTAAGGAAAAAAAAGAGAGTTGTGAGGAGCTGAAGGAGCACCCGTGAACTATGGGTTTCTAAATGCTATAGGAAAGGCAGAACCTGAAGATTCAGGAAATTGCTACTATAAAGTGAAATCTCGACTTCACTGAGGTACATTGAGTATTTTGCTGTTTACTTCAACAATGCAAAGATTTTCTCTGCCATCCCTACAGAAGACAAGCTGAACAGCCCCTGGGTTGTGCAGGTCCAGAGCTCAGCTCTTCCCCAGGCCTGGGGAATTTGCAAGGTCTGCAGCCTTCCTCAGGCCCACTCCACCCAGTCTGCAGTTGGGTTTTGCCTGAGGCGAGAGCCTTTCCCATGTCCATCTGGCTCAAAACCAGGCTGCTCACGCTGGAAATGGGTTCACTCTTTCATGCAATTTGCTTTTGTTAGTATCTAGGATCCAATCAGCTTCCATTTAAAACTCTACTTTGCAAGCGTGTGTGCAGGTGCATGCAGACACAGTCCTGCTCACCTTGTGCATGTTGGCCCAACTGACTTATCTTTCAGGAATTTCAGCTGCCTACTCGTTGCCCCAGGTAGGATTACTTTTTCCCTAGGAAATTTCAGACAAGCTATAGAAGGTACTTGGGACAGGCTAATTAGTGAAAAACTATTAGAGTTTTCTAGCTGGGATAATTTTGCTGCCTTGTTTTTAATCTTCCTGTGCCTTCCAAGTGATTTGGGATGAAAAATCTAAATGCAATATAATCCTTTATTTTTTTTTTCTTTTATTTTCCTCCCCTTAGGACTGGCAGGGAATGTGAGGGCCCCAGGGTAGGAAGTAGTTACAAAAAAGCATTTCTTGATCATTCAGCTTCCTTCTAGCGGGCTGAGTCGGTGACTCATGACGATCGGAAGCACAAAATCAAAACAGGACAAGAAGCCCTCTAGTCTAGACAGCCGTCCAAATGTTTCTGCTCGTGCCCCTGAATCATTAACACGTGCGAATGAAATGCTTAAGTGAAGTTCAGATGAAAATCTCGACCCTGTAATGGCTTTTCTGTATCTGCTGCAGTCACTGTGTTCCTTGGAGATGGGTTTGTGAGCCCTGTGATACCTCCATGGTTCAGTTGTGGAGACCTCTGAGGTTCTCCTGGCTTTGGGACCCAGCTGCCCTTGTGGAGCTGGGCTGGTCCCTATGGATTATCAGTAAGGCCAAGTTTTACCTGGAGCCTCAGAAACCAGCAGCAGCAAAGATCAGAGAGGTCTCTCTAATGGGACTCAAGATATGACACTAACTGGGGTAATGCACAGGTTGCTCTCCAGCATTTAGGAGTTCAACCCTCTCCTGAGAAGGGGCATGCAGGAGGACAGGGAGGCCTCGTCACTTTTACTGGGATCCTCTCTTCTCCTCTCCAGCCTCGTTCTTCATTTCTCTCCTCATTTTCCTCTGGGAATCCTTTCCCTTGGGAAAGCTCTGCTCTTCCCGGGCAGAGGGGCCACTCATCAGGGTGACATGGTGGTGGGTGGCTGCAGTGAAGGCAGGAGGGCCTTGTCCCTCTGGAGCGCTCTGTCAGTGCCTCTAGGAGCCTCCACGTTGGTCGTGCTTTGGCTTCCAGTGCTGAGGTGAAGGTCCGAGTCACAAGAGCCACACACTTGCCTGCGATGGCCGAGAGCTGTCGTAGTTGCTGACCTTCCCCCTTCTGCCTCAGGGCAGAAAACAAGTAAATAACAAACAAGAAAGTGGTCTCAGTTATCCTAAATATACATAGTTGTGTTTTAAATGAATGTTCTAGGCTTGGGCTTATGTAAACTTAAGGAGACAGTGTACCGCGAGCTTGATGAATGTTCATTGGCAGCTCGTGGAGGAATCGTGCGAATGTCAAAGAGACAACAGTTTCCCTAAGTGCTGATTAGTTTTTACTCTGCTACACAACTTACTGACAGAAAATAACACGCCTCCCCACGCTGGGAAAATGTAATTTACGGCAGGGTTCAAGGTACATTTGTAGCCACAGTGAGGAGCCTTCTGAAAATGATTGGGCTGTCAGTTTGAGAAGTCTGTCACCACTCCCGTGAATTCCCTCCTCAAATCCCCTGAATTGCCACGTACGGGCAGCCCCAGAACAATCTTCCCCACAGGCATCTGGATGTGGAACGAAACACCATTGCCATGGCAGGGCTGATGGGTTCACAAGAAGCTCTTGGGTTGATGTCTTCAAGTGCTCGTAGGCCATGTAGGAAGGAAATGCCCCTTCTGCCTGCAGGCCAGTGAGCCCCAGTGACCATGGCACCCATGGGACTCATGGGATGGGGGTTCCCTTTTTGAAGTCAAAGATGGAGCTCTTCTGGTGGCTTCCATCTTCGCTCCCTCCTGCCCAAGCCCGTCCTCGCTCCGAAAGTCCCTCCTTAGGTGATGGCCAGAGGTTTGTTGACCCCACTAAGCACAAGGAGGGTGTTGAGGGACGGAGCGTGATCTCCTGCCCCTGAGCAGGCACCCATGCTGTGAGCAATAGGAAAGGGAAAGGGGAGATTTGTGCTTCATTAAAGCCTTAGGGCCAAAATCTCCACTGAAAAAGAGCCAGCATTTCACTCCTAGAGGTCTACTTTGTTTTTCTCTCCCATGTTTCCTTTCGCTATATCTTAAATTCATTGCTGTGTTTTGTCTGCAAAGCATCTCTAATCCTTCAGCTCGGGCCTCCCTATCGCTGGCTTTATGTCTTCCTGCACCGTGCTGGCACAGTGGGGAGCCCAGCTCCAGCAGGGATCATTGGGGTCTAATCAGACTCCAAAGTAAATGAGGGACTGTGTAAGCACAGCATTACCATACACTAATTCCCTGTCCGTTAGGGGAGCCTTTGCTTTGCAATAGCAGCATCTCTTTCGCCTTTGTTAATGCTCCTTAAAAATGTTTTATTAATGCAATTACCTTAGTATAACTTGAGGAAAGAGAGCGCTAGCAAAGACCTTTCATCAGAAGGTCTCGGCGCACGCTGGAGTTTATTCAGCTGTCATCACAGCATCTCTCAGCGCCCGAAATGCCACGATGTGGCCATCCTGCCACTGGAAAACAGCAAGGAAACCAGGAATGTCCCCGCTGCCTGCCAGCAGCCGTGCCAGAAATAGAAATGAAGCGCAAACCGCGTCCTTTGCCCTGGCCATAGCCTTGGAGCGCAACCGGATCCAATG